GCTAGCACTCTACCACTGGAGCCACAGCGCCACTTCCGGCTTTTTCTGTTTATGTGGTGCTGAGGAATCGAACCCAGGGCCTCATGCTTGCAAGGTATGCATTCTACCGCTGAGCTACCTTCCCAGCCCCTCTTTCTTATTATTTTTTTAAAGTGTTATTATAAAAGTGATGGCGGTACAGAGGGGTTAGAGTTACATAAGTCAGGTAAAGAGTACATTTCTGTTTTTGGACAATATCACCCCTTTTCTTTCTCTCTTGCAGTTTTTCCTTCTCATCCTCACCCCCATATGTATAGTTCATTTTCAACAGGCACTCAGTTTCTTTTAGGGTTTTAATGCACACACTGCATGTGTCGTGTGGTGTGTACGCAAGTGTACTTGTGTGTCTGTGTGTCCCAGACCTAGACTTGGCTCCTGGAAGATCTTTCCTCTTACGTCAGATCCTTCATTCATCCCTTCTGCTTAAGATCCAGCCAAAACAAGTTGCAAATCGGTTTCTCCGTTTCAGTTACCTGCATATTGTCGAGCTGTTCTCCACTCTGAAATGGAACAGAGAGGAAAAAAGATACTTAGGAGGCTGGCTAGGAGCTCTTGAATCTACATGAAGGCCTGGAAGTTCATGGAGCACTGGGTTCTACCAAAACCAAAGTTTTGCTGGGAAAAGCAAGAGAATGAAGCCTGTGGACAACAAAACAAAACAAAACAAAAATAATACAAGTGTCTGGATGACCTGAACACCAGAAATGCAGCCTCAGCGCTGAGAATGGGCAAGGGTGGGCCATAGGCCCGACCCATATAGACACAGGAACTCACAAATGCACCGAAGACGACGCCTTCAGTCAAGGGAAAGTTATGCCCGGTAGACTAGAATGGCATTGGGGAAAAGTCAAGTCACCTTAGAGAGAAAAGTGACTGGATTTTCATCTCACACCTAGAAAAGAGTGAGTCTTAGGATTAAGGGCCTGCTCTAGTTTGGGTCTGGAATGTTCCCTCAAGACCTTGGCTCTTCAGTCTTAGTCTTCCACTTGAGTGGCGGAATCTTGAAAAAGGTGAAGCCTAGTTGGAGAGTGCTCCATTCCATTGGGGGCATGCTCTTGGAGAGGATGGTCACATGATCACAAGAGTAAATGATAAGAGCCGGGCACAAGTGGCTCACCCCTGTAATCCTAGCTACTCAGGAGGCTGAGAGCTGAGGATCACAGTTCAAAGCCAGCCCGGGCAGGAAAGACTGTGAGACTCCTATCTCCAATAAAACCACCAGAAGACCGGAAGTGATGCTGTGGCTCAAATGGTAGAGTGCTTGTCTTGAGCTGAAGAGCTGAGGGACAGTGCCCAGGCCCAGAGTTCAGGCCCCATGACTGGACCCCCCCCCAAAAAAAAGAAATGGAAATACATTTTCAAGCCTTCTCATAATTATACTTTGTCAATTTTTCTCTTGAGAGATAGGATTTCATTATGTAGCTCAGGTTGGCTCTGGAGTAGTTGGAGTAGCTGGGACTGACTGGATGCAGGGATCTCGTGGGATGGAAATAGTGGAAATGAGACTGTGTCACACATGAGCAACAAGATAGGCAAAGCTTTATTGGGTCATCAACCTGAGCCTGCTAACTCACCATTGGAGCCAAAGAGAGACAAGAAGTGATGGAGCTGGGGGATGAGCTTCTGATTGCTGGGAACAAAGAGAGGGTGAGCAGTTACTGAATTGGGGTCTGGGTCAGATGAAGTATGGTCATCGACCATTTGTTATGGGTTTCAGAAAGATGTTTTTCTCCTTGTGTGTAGCATCCTGGCTTTGTAGTTGGTGGACTCACGAATCATCAGTTCCATTCAGGAATGGTTGAGGTACATCTAGTATATCACCTTGCATAAATAAATGTCCCAGCTTTAGCACAGGGCTGAATGACTTCTAATGCTTGAATTGTCAAGAGAGCACAAAGGCATAAGGGTCAAAGAAATTTACATCTGTTCCAATTGGCAAGAGGCCCAATGAGCCCCGCATAACAGTTGTGGATAAAACATTTCTCAAGTGATAGACCTGTGAGCCAGGTGCTGGTGGCTGAAGCCTGTCATCCTAGCTCCTCAGGAGGCTGAGATCTGAGGATCGCAGTTTGAACCCAGCCCAGGCACCACCCAAATCAAGGTTCTACAACCCAAACCAGAGACTCTTGTCTCAGAGGTAAAGTTAACCGAGCACCAGCAGTGGACATTATCCAGTTTGCTATGATTTGATTTAACAATTTTTAATGCTTTTTTTTGTTTTAAACCTTGCTGATTCCAAGTAATTACCTTTGGAACGCTTTCCATATGAATCCATTTTTAGATGTTAGAAACTGGCACAAAGCCTGGGAGGAAGCGTGCGAAAAGTGGCCCATTTACTACAGTGTCAATGTGGAAACGATATTTTTAGAGCTAAGTTTTTGGCTCGTGTGCGTATGAGACCCTGATAAACCAAGGATTCTTAGACTCCGGGGAGCCCACAATCTTTAGGAGAAAATGGCAATGTTTGCCACCTTTTGAAACAATGCCAGTTGAAACACTAGCTTCCGTACGTGCACAGCAAACCACTTTTATACTTGCACTTTTTTGTGTTTTTACTAACTGCCAATTTGCATTTTTAATCATATAGAATCATTTGCATTGACCATAAGTAAAAGAAAAGAAGTGTCTGAAATAAATAACTAAAAGAGGAGCCCATTTCTTTTAAAGGGGTGTAGGGTGGGAAGGAGCTTAAAGAGGGGTGACCTTAGCCTTGGCAGTGGACTGATCATCATGACAGATGATTCCTGGCCCTCCACGGAGGGGAAAGTGGGGTCCTTGCCACATACTTAAACGGACCCCCAAAGAACCACCTGTTGTAGCATTAGAGGATTGCCTACAAGAAGAAGGACCCTAGCATCATGTAAGATAAGCTTGGTCTGAGATGTGGAGAAAACTGGGAGTGTGAGGCCCTCGGAGGAAGACTGTGGACCACACACACATTTCCTATGAGTCAAAAGGACATTGGAGCCAAGTGCTGGTAGCTTACCTCTGTAATCCTGTCTACTCAGGAGGCTGACATCTGAGGATCGCAGTTTGAAGTCAGCCCAGTCAGAAAGCTCCATGAGATTTATTGCCAGTTAACCAGCAAACAAACAAACAAACAAACAAACTGGAAGCTGAAGTGTAGCTCAAGTGGTAAAGCACTAACTTTGAGTGGAAAGGCAAAGTGAGTGAGTGTACAAGGCCCTGAGTTCAAACCTTAGTACCAGCACAGTACATACAGACAGACAGACATACAGACATACATAGCAGCATGAACTTGAGGATTTTGGTTTTCATTCATGCAGAATAGTTCATTATTGCCTTTCTCCCTCCCTGTTGTTGGAAATCTAACCTTGAGCCCACTACATACTAGGCAAATGCTTTAATACGAAGCTATACACCCAGCCCTATTACTGTCGCTGTGAATTTTGATATTCAAATTACCTCATAGTTTGATCAGAAAAGTTTGTCCACACTGAAACCTACATACATTTGGTTTATTTATCCTCTGCTTTCATTTTTTTAGACAATTATACTTATTTATCTATTTTAATCGACAAAGTATATATTGATGGTGTATCATATATTTTGATATACACGAATATATTGTAGAATAGCTAAATCAAGATAACATAAATTGCCTCAAACTATATTTTGTGGTGAGAATACTCTAAAAAACCTCAGCGATTTTCAAATGTACAATATGTAGTTATTTACCATAGGCACAGTTTTTAAGCTTTTCTTTTGCTGTCTTTTTGTACTAGGGATGGATGTTGCATCTGCTAAGCAAGTGCTTCACCACAGAGCTACATTGTAATTGCCCACGACATTGTAATTGTGAACCAAAAAACCTGAGCTCACTCCTACTTTCCATCAGTTTCTGACCCTGGCTTTCAGCCCAAGATGGTTTATGCTGTAAGCCTTCTGCACAGTAGTCTTGAACCAAGCTGTTTTTCTTCAACTTCACTTTCCTAAGAACTAATATTTAACTAGCATCTGAACCACAGGTGAACCCACTGTTTAGAAGGTGTCAGTACTTTTACCCATCCACGGAGCCAGCAAACAGATACAACCATAGAAATAAACGAACCAACGCTTCAAATCCCGTCTCTCTTCAAATCCTCGCCCTTTTGACTCTATTTTCAACTTCCTTCCCGTCTCCCTGCCAGTTTCTGATTGTCAGCAACACCAGTTTTAAAAAAAATCAGTTTTTGAATCCTACAATCCACACAGATGACCACCTGTTTCCTGAAAGAAAATTCTATACCCCCATCTACTTTAGCAAAGATCTCTCTGTCTGTCCCTCTGTCTGTCTCTATCTCTTTGTCCTTCTCTGGCCACAGTGAGACTTTTAGATTTTTTTCTGACATTTTGGCCAGTGTGTTTATTTATTAATTTTTTTCTCTAGAGAAAGCAGGAAAGCAAAAGCACTGGTTGCTCAGGATCATTTCATGGATTCATTCCTGAACTCAAGAAAGCCCACTGGGGCTGGGGGAAATGTGGCTCAGTGGTAGAGTGCTTGCATAGCAGGGCCGAAGCCCTGGGTTCCATTCCTCAGTACCCCATGTGCAGAAAAAGCCAGAAGTGGTGCTGTGGCTCAGGTGGTCGAGTGCTAGCCTTGAACAAAAGAAGCTCAGGGACAGGGCCCAGGCCCTGAGTTCAAGTCCCAGGACTGACCAAAAAAAAAAAAAAAAAAAGAAAAAGAAAGCCCCTGTATCACAGGCCCAGGGAGGCGTCTGGAGTCTCACAGGGCTGCACCCAGGTGTCACTGTCCTGTTCTTGGGGAGCCCGTGTCCCTCCAGCTGGCCAGGAGGACACGATGGTCAGGGGGTCCGGATGCTCGCCCCCATCGTGGGCTCGGGGCCTGAAGTAGGCGCAGAGCGCCCCGGAGAAGGTGTCGTGGAAGGTGAAGAGGTGGGAGCCGTCGGACACGTTGAAGAAGGACAGCTTTCCGGCCTCGCAGTCCAGGAAGATGCCCACCCGCCGGGGTGGCACGCGCACGGGGAGGGCCACGCGGTGCGGGTCCAGGACGAAGTACTCGCAGCCGTTCCACAGCCCCATCACCCAGTAGCCACGCGCGGGGCTCAGGCGCGCGTGGCCCGAGCGCGCCACCGAGTCCAGACACGCGCCCAGGAACCAGCGGCTCCGGCTGCCCACGTGCACCTCCCAGTAGTGGCGGCCCGAGGGGAAGCGCTCGTGGCTCAGCACGCACGTCTGCTCCGAGAACCGCGATGGATCACAGGCTACGCCGGGGTTCGGGGTCCCCTGGCGGCTGGAGGACACACTCTTGCCATCCTTAGACACCTCCAGGCTGGGGTGCGCCGTGGCTGGATCCAAGGTGATGTCCACTGCGTAGAAGCCCAGGGTCAGTGTCAGCCAGGGGTAGCCAGGGGATCCCCCCCACCCCAAATCTCCTTCTCACTGTCCCCTTCTCCCATCCACACCCCTCCAGGGTCTCCTCTGTCAATCCTGGTCCTGGTCCCCCTCGCCCAGCCCAGCCACCCTCCCTCTCTTCCCTGCTTTGCTCCCCCCAGGTGGGCCACGCTCAGGGAAAGCACTCCTGAACATGGGAAAGGGAGAGGAGAATGCTCATTCTTGGAAGGTTCCTGAGTCCCCTACTTGGTGCCTCCTTAGAGAAAAGAAAATAAGTACATAAAAATAAAAATGAGGTAGAGATGGGGCCATGTTCTGGGAAGACGTTACTGGTTCATTCCCTGCTGGTCTTGCCTGGCTGGGCGATGTAGAGTTCACTCTGGGACTCAGTTTTATAGCCTTGGTAGGAGTGTGTGTGTGTGTGTGTGTGTGTGTAAGCACATGCCTGTGCTAGTACTGGAGCTCACACTCAGGGCTTGAGTGCTGTCCCCTAGCTTTTGTGCTCAAAGCTGGTGCTCTACCCTTTGAGTCACACTTCCATTTTCAGTTATTCATTTCTTTTTTGTCAGTTGTGGGGTTTGAACTCTGAACCTGGGTGCTGTCCCTCAGCTCTTCAGTTCAAGGTGAGTGTTCTACTACTTGAGCCACAGTGCCACTTCCAGTTTTCTGAGTGGTTTATTGGAGATCAGAGTCTCATGGCCTTTTCCTGCTGGAGTTGGCTTTGAACCGTGATCCTCAGATCTCAGCCTCCTGAGTAGCTAGGATTACAGGTGTGAGCCACTTGTCCCCAGTTTCTTTCTTCTTCTCCTTCTTCTTCTTTTTTTTTTTTTTTGCTGGTCATGGGGCCTGAACTCTGGGTCTGGGCGCTGTCCCTCAGCTCTTCAGCTCAAGGCTAGCACTCTACCACTGGAGCCACAGCGCCACTTCCGGCTTTTTCTGTTTATGTGGTGCTGAGGAATCGAACCCAGGGCCTCATGCTTGCAAGGTATGCATTCTACCGCTGAGCTACCTTCCCAGCCCCTCTTTCTTATTATTTTTTTAAAGTGTTATTATAAAAGTGATGGCGGTACAGAGGGGTTAGAGTTACATAAGTCAGGTAAAGAGTACATTTCTGTTTTTGGACAATATCACCCCTTTTCTTTCTCTCTTGCAGTTTTTCCTTCTCATCCTCACCCCCATATGTATAGTTCATTTTCAACAGGCACTCAGTTTCTTTTAGGGTTTTAATGCACACACTGCATGTGTCGTGTGGTGTGTACGCAAGTGTACTTGTGTGTCTGTGTGTCCCAGACCTAGACTTGGCTCCTGGAAGATCTTTCCTCTTACGTCAGATCCTTCATTCATCCCTTCTGCTTAAGATCCAGCCAAAACAAGTTGCAAATCGGTTTCTCCGTTTCAGTTACCTGCATATTGTCGAGCTGTTCTCCACTCTGAAATGGAACAGAGAGGAAAAAAGATACTTAGGAGGCTGGCTAGGAGCTCTTGAATCTACATGAAGGCCTGGAAGTTCATGGAGCACTGGGTTCTACCAAAACCAAAGTTTTGCTGGGAAAAGCAAGAGAATGAAGCCTGTGGACAACAAAACAAAACAAAACAAAAATAATACAAGTGTCTGGATGACCTGAACACCAGAAATGCAGCCTCAGCGCTGAGAATGGGCAAGGGTGGGCCATAGGCCCGACCCATATAGACACAGGAACTCACAAATGCACCGAAGACGACGCCTTCAGTCAAGGGAAAGTTATGCCCGGTAGACTAGAATGGCATTGGGGAAAAGTCAAGTCACCTTAGAGAGAAAAGTGACTGGATTTTCATCTCACACCTAGAAAAGAGTGAGTCTTAGGATTAAGGGCCTGCTCTAGTTTGGGTCTGGAATGTTCCCTCAAGACCTTGGCTCTTCAGTCTTAGTCTTCCACTTGAGTGGCGGAATCTTGAAAAAGGTGAAGCCTAGTTGGAGAGTGCTCCATTCCATTGGGGGCATGCTCTTGGAGAGGATGGTCACATGATCACAAGAGTAAATGATAAGAGCCGGGCACAAGTGGCTCACCCCTGTAATCCTAGCTACTCAGGAGGCTGAGAGCTGAGGATCACAGTTCAAAGCCAGCCCGGGCAGGAAAGACTGTGAGACTCCTATCTCCAATAAAACCACCAGAAGACCGGAAGTGATGCTGTGGCTCAAATGGTAGAGTGCTTGTCTTGAGCTGAAGAGCTGAGGGACAGAGCCCAGGCCCAGAGTTCAAGCCCCACGACCAACCCCCCCCCCAAAAAAAAGAGTAAATGATAAGACACAGGGCTGTGCTGCTAAGCTATGAAATATTACTTGCATTTTTTTTTAAACAGGAAAGTTTTTCCAATTTACAGTGGATTTCTTGAGATACAACTCTATGGTGGGCTGGTCAGGGATCATAATGGGAAACAGGAGAAAAATGACCCTCACTCACCAGCTTGGCCTTCAGCTCTTCTCCATTCTGAAGCAGTAAGAGGAAAAACAGAATTAGAACCCCAGAGTATCACGATTTCCCCATTTTACCCATCACATTTGACACCCTTCCTGCCTGCCTACCCCTTCCCCTGCTACCCCTGCAGCCAGCAGGCCTCCACCCTGGACATCACACCCAACTGGGAGATGAGTGAATATATTGCTAATTAGATGGGGTGGGGGGAAGGTGGAAAGCAAGGAACGATTCAAAGAGGGTCCACTTACCCAACTCTGTCTGAAGCTTCTCTATAAGCAAAAGAGAGAAAAAGATCAACGTTCAGATGAGTGGGAAAAACCTTCCAAAGCAGTTTTAGTTTACTGGGAAGAGGTTCTTTAGCCTCTGGCTTAAGGGACTACAAGGTTTCTCCACTGGGTAGCAGCCCGAACTTACCCAGCTGTGCGGTCAGCTTTCCTAGAGAAGAAATGAAAAGCAGAAACTCAGGTTGGGCAGTGGATGAGAGAGGACAGACAGAGAACTGGGGCCTCGTTCCTTCTTGGAGCACACAGGCTGCCCTTGTGCTCCTGGGATCACGGCCTGCCTGCACCTCTGGGAGTCACTTCCTCTCCACCCTCTCTCCACAAGGCTTCTAGAACCTTCTCTTGGTCTGTCATATGCCTTGTTGACCCGGCATGCCTTTGGCTGCTCCGAGACGTGGGCTTGGAGGAGGCCTTTGCCCCAGCTTACCTCGTTCCTTGTCTGCCTGCTTCTTTACTTTGGCTGAAAGGAAGAAACGAGGTTGACCCTGCACCCTCTCCTGCCTCCAGCCTGGCAGGATGGCGTTTCCAGAAGCCATCCTGGCAGGCTGTCCTTGGATGCTCCCCCCCCCCCCAGCAGTTGGATTTGTCTCCCAAGGCTGGAGGGGGTGGGGAGGGGCAGCCTCATACCTTGGAACTGACGCTGCCTGCGGAAGTAGCGCGTTGCCAGCAGGGTGAGGAGGGCCACGAGGAGCAGCAGTGTCACCAGCGTCCCAAGGAATGCCCTCTTCCAGGGCGATGTGCCAGGTAAAAACACATCTGGAGAACACCCTCCCCCACCAGGGAGTTGTCTATTAGGAACCACTGACCACCCACACAAGCCTATGTTCCACCTCAGGCACTGGAATTTTTTTTTCCTATTTCCTTCAGGACCCCGCTTATAGTTAATTGGATAATGGGTGTCAGAGCAGCTACGAGATCTACTTCCTAGGTGAGAACTGGGAAGAGGAGGAGGAGGAACTTGAACTTGCCCAGAGGAAGGAGAATGCCCTGAAACCTAAAGGAAGTGTATCCCTCACCCCGCTCCTACGCCGGTGACCTTCTCTGAATTTCAATGGCCACAGCTCTGACCTGTCTCCCCATCTTCCTGAATCCTTGGGGAGGAGCAGTCATCATCTTAAGGAGCTAGTTTGTTCCCTGCAAGTAATGGCATTGGTAACGTCTCTAGAGACACTCACAGAACCTGAACTGAGATAATAATCCACAAGGCCAGATGGGTGCTGGTAGCTCACACCTGTCATCCTAGCTGCTCAGGAGCCCGAGATCTGAGGATCATGGTTCAAAGCCAGCCTGGGAAGGAAAGTCTATGAGACTCTTATCTACAGGTATGCACCAAAAAGAAAGCCAGAAGAGGAGCTGTGGCTCAAGTGGTAGAGCACTAGCTTTGAGCAAGAAGAAGCTCAGGGACAGTGCCCAGGCCTTAAGTTCAAGCCCCAAGACAGACAGACAGACACACACACACACACACACACACACACACACACACACAAATCCATAGTAGGCCACATACATACCTTTTGCCACCCTGCCCCAATTTTTCTAGCTAAAATTAAAGCTCATGCCAGCACCTTTGAAGACGAAATGCTTACTTTGGGACTCTGTCACTTGAGCTGTGTTTCTAGCTCTAGTTTCTTTAGTTACTTGGGGGATTCCATCTTGCATTTATGCTTGGCATGGCCCGGATAGTGATCCTCCTATTTTTTTCCCATGTAGCTGGGATGACAGGCAGGAACTACCACACATAGATTTAGGTCGATAGAGGTCTCTGAAACTTCTTGTTGGGGCTGGCCTGGAATCAAGATCTTCTTGATCTCCATCTCCCAGATGGCTAGGATTACAGGTGTGAGGCACTAACCCTTTCCCTCACCACCACCACCCTTCTCTTTCCTATTTAGCACACTCAGGGAAGTTAGTTGGACCACGTGGTAACCTTGGAGCTAGGCCTCTGGCACTGAACTCAAGATACAAATTTAGATTTGTCTATACATCTAAAAAGAAGGAAAACAAGAGCAACCAAAAACCACTTTGGATTTCCCCTAATACAAAAAGAGAAATCCCTCTCTTCCCATTTCTCAGAGCGTTTCCTTCGAAATGTAGCTAAGTGATTTTGAACGCCAAACAAACATCTTGCCAGCCTTAACAACCCAAGATTGCTTTGACATGCAAACATCAGACAAAATACCCCATTTCCTTTCTCCCCTGGTGGTTAAGCACCTGGCTCTATGCTATAGCTATATGCCTGCCATAGACATAGGAGATGTTCCCCCCCCCTGCCCCAACTTGGAATAATGACAGCTAATACAGAAGACCACCCCAGTTACCAAAGGATGCTGCCAACTCTGTCAACTTGAGCATGTTTTTGTTTATCTGAGGCTTTCAACCTGCCTGACTATAGCTGTAGGACAGATTTATTTCTATTATAATAATATAACTATTGATTTGGACTGATGTGAAATATGGTTAATAGATTGGGTTTTCTTTTTTTCTTTTCTTTCTTTTTTTTTTTAAATTGGTCGTGGGGCTTGAACTCTGAGTGCTGTCCCTCAGCTCTTCAGCTCATAGCGAGTGCTCTACCACTTGAGCCACAGTGCCACTTTGGTTTTCTAGTGGTTTATTGGAGATAAGAGTCCCACGGACTTTCCTACCTGGTCTGGCTTTGAACCATGATCCTCAGATCTCAGCCCCCTGAGTAGCTAGGATTACAGGTATAAGCCACTAGTGCCCAGCTAGGTTGGGTTTTCTTTAGCACTTAAAACAATTTCAAACATTAAACCCTTCCATGGATGCCTCCTAAGACGTGTGTGTGTGTGTGTGTGTGTACCTATTCTGGAGGCCTGGGGGCTGTTCCTGAGCTTTGTTGCTCAAAGCTAGTACTCTACCACTTGAGCCACAGCTCCCTGTCTGGATTTTCGGTGGTTAATTGGAGATAAGACTCTCACAGACTATCTTATCCAGGCTGGCTTTGAACCTTGGTCCTCAGAAGTCAGCCTCCCGAGTATCTAGGATTATAGGTGTCAACCACTTGCACCTGACCATAGTAAGATTTTGATGTTCAATGGTCATCTGCTTCCATGAATCACCTTTTCCTCATCCATAGACATTCCCAGATAGTTTTTTTTTTCTGCTTGGGATTTTCTCTCTAGCTCCTACCATAGTCCAAGATATGGTATGACTTACATCGTAGTTTATTGTCTATACTCCCCTCTAGGGGTGGAAGCGGAGGGTGGAAGTTTGGGGCACATTATGAATGCACTGCCTGGTAATTGCTTGAAGGATGAAATTAGGGACTCCTGGCTTCTCATGACGAGCTCTAATGAGTTTACGTGCTTTTGTGCCTGGCCTTTGGCAGAGTAGTGCTGGCTCCCTGCGGGTCTGTTATTCCTGTCTTTGGATTGCCAGCTGCATTCTTAGTGAGTTCCTGATTTCTCGCTTGATGGCTTTTCAGACACCAAGACTAGTTCGTCTCACACTCAGCCAGGTCTCAGAATCCTTGAACCTCTACAGACCAACTTTGAGGTCAATCGACATGGAGGATGTGGAAAGTAAGATCCTGCAGGTGAGCCACCATCTACTGACCTGCTATCTGGACCACAAACTCTTTCTTCTGCATCAGTAGAGGGTTCTGGATGGAGCAGGACACATTGCTATGGGCTCCCTTTCGGACAACCACGGACGTTTCTAAACTGAACAGGCCCTGAGCATCCTGGATGATGATTTTTGACTCCGGAGGCAGGCACTGACCCTGGTGGTCACTCCACTGAACCGTGGGCTTGGGGTACCAGCCACTGGAGCTGCATCTTAGCTGAATGCCTCCTTCCTTGAAGCCCTCAAGGGAGATATGAGGGTCTGAGCCATGTCCTGGGAAAGATGAAATGAGTGATAAAGATCAGGCTCCTTCCTAGAAGGAATGTAAGCAGTCCATGTCCCCATTCACCATTTCAACAACATGTTTTGTGCTCAAGGCTAGCACTCCACCACCACCCCGAGTCACAGCTCCGCTTCTGGTTTTCTGGTAGTTAATTGGAGCTAAGAGTCTCATGGACTTTCCTGCCGGGGTTGGCTTTGAACTGGGATCCTCAGATCACAGCCCCCTGAGTAGCTAGGATTATAGGTGTGAGCCTCCAGCATCTGGCCCCTTAGTGATGTTTGAAAATATTCAGAGAAGCATATTTGATGGAGAAGAGCTATACACATTTAGTCATAGTATGCCAAGAAAATACGCAACAGAAAGTTTCTTTTAGAATGAAGAGTTGTCCCATTTCAAATTCCAATAGCTCAAGATAGAGACACAAGTGGTTTTTTCTTTCTTGTTATTGTTTCTAATGTATTTATAATGTACCATGTGATTTTTTTGTTTCTTTGCATGTTCTTCCCCCACCGTATAACCCCTGTTTTCACTGTATTTGATGTCAGTGCCCTGCATCTTGTATATAGATTCTCTCTTGAGTCTTTGTCTCTTTATTCTTGTGGAGTTAACTATGTATCTAAGTATCTGTCATCTATATCTATGTATCTATATATGTATGTATCTACTATCTACCTACCTACCTATCATCTATCTACCTATTAGCCATCTATCTACCTAGCTACCTACCTATCTATTCTTTGCAATGCTGAGTCTTGTGTGTACTAGGTGAGCACTTAACCACTTAGCTACATCCCAGCCACATATTTTGAATTTGCAAACATGAATATCATGGTCTCAATGTCAATGTTATATAAAATCCTATCCATACAGGTCTGAGTTTTTCTCCATTCTTTTCATCTTGTACATCTTCCCTCATCCCTTAGGTACCAATTTTCACTTCCCTCTTTTTTTAAAGTCAGGGTGTGTTTATTTGTTTTCACATATATTTCTATTACCTTTAAGTACTTGTGCCAAGGCGTTGCCATTCACCAGAGCAGTTTGGAATACCATGCTCTTGTCAATGTCACCTCTTTCAACATTCTCAGCCCTCCCTCCCCTCCCCACCCCTTCCCTCACTTTTCTTAATTTTTGTAGACGATGCACTGATTTTTTTTGGGGGGTCTAGTCGTGGGGCCTGAACTCTGTGCCTGGGCACTGTCCCTCAGCTCTTCAGCTCAAGGCTAGCGCTCTACCACTTGAGCCACAGCGCCACTTCCGGCTTTTTCCTTTTTGCTTATGTGGTGCTGAGGAATCGAACCCAGGGCCTCATGTATGCAAGGCAAGCGCTCTACCACTGAGCTACCTTCCCAGCCCCTGCACTGAGTTTTTGACTGCATCCTCCCTCCTTTAGTTGATCCTTATTACAATGTCCTTCCTCTCTTCTTACGTACAAAAATATAGATCACCAAACCTCTTCTGCATCTTGGTTGTGTGTGTGTGTGTGTGTGTGTGTGTGTGTGCACCAGCCCATGAGTCTATATCTACTTGAGCAGATCCATCCCAGCGGCCCGTTTCTCTTTGACACCCTCACCCCCCCCCCCACGCACCCACCTGCTACCTCCAGCTCCCAGAGAGCTTCCCCAGAGAAGCTGTCAGAGAGGAAGCTACACCCATAGGGGCCCTCGTCGGAAGGAAGGACGCCACGCAGGTAGAGGTTCACGCTGCCATCTGCGATCTCCTCGGTGACGAGTCTGGTCCGGTTCTGGAACTGGGTCATCTGCTGGGCCCAGAGCTCCTGCGGCTCGGGATACAGGTGCACCACGTCCGAGGCCTGGCTCCGGAACCAGCGGATCTCCATGTGCTTGGCGTCTTGGTACGGGGACAGGTGGCAGGAGAATTCCACCTCCTCCCCGACGTGGGCCAGAATGGGTTCCCCCGGGCCTATCACCATTACCTCCTCTAGAATGACAAGGCAGAATAATGGCCCAAATCCACCCTCTTCCAAGAGAATAATAATAATAATTATTATTTCTATTACTATTATTGTCGATCATGAGGCTTGAACTCAGGGTCTGGGCTCTGTCCCTCAGCTTTTGTACTTAAGGCGAGTACTCAACCATCCACTTCTAGTTTCCTGGTGGTTCATTGGAGATAAGCGTCTCATACCTCTTGTGCCAAGGCTGGTTTTGAACCCTGATCATCAGATCTCAGCCTCCTGAGCACCCAGGGCTACAGGTGTGAGCCACTGGTGCCTAGCTAGCAGCTTGCTTTTGTGAGTTGATGGGACTGATAGAGGTCTTTCCTGACCTTCAAAAACTGTGCAGGCAGGGTAACTAAGCTAGTATTATTGACCAACGTACCACCAACCCAGACCAAGAAGAATTTCCTGCCACCCACCTGCCATGCTCTCTGCTATGTGGGATGAGAAGAAAAGAGTTGGATGATTCTGGGGGTGGGGTGGGGGGAGGGAGAAAGGGCAATGGGTCGTTAACAATTGGGTTGGAAATCTTTCTGTGTTAGGAGGGGACACCTGGCAGAAGACGTGGGCAGGGCTGAGACACGCAGAGGCTGGCTGAGTTTGCTATGGCCGGGCTACCTGAGTTCACCTGCCCAGGCTGCGGCAAGAGGAGGAGGTGGATGAGGAAGAAGACTCTGCTGGGTAGAAGAACTTGCTTCAGGAATTCCAGGGATTCTGGGATGTTAGCCATCAGCAACGAGGGCCACCTGCTGAGAAAGAAAGTGAATCTGAGGTGACCTGATCTCAGCAGGGCTGGGATCTGCTATTGCCTCAATAATGAGGATGCTAATATTTAATGCTATATTTTATACTATATTATAACATAATTTATATTATAATAATATAACATATAATAATGTCCTATTATTATTAATACTGTGATTCTTGGGTTCTTACCAGTCCCCCAAACCTGGCTTTAAACCATAACCGGATATGAGAACTGCTTCTAATTTTACCAGCCAACACCATTATTAGCCTTGCTCAAACTCATGTTTCTTCTAGAGGACAGGGCTGGAGGGTCTCAGAGGAAACAACATCTGGGCAAGGTATTATTTAGAGCCAGGACTAGAGCCATACATTGTGTGTGGGGCTCAGAGACATCCTCTTTTGGAATTTATAGTGTTCTCCAAACAAAGGGAAATCTCTGAAGAATCTTGGATTTTTTTTTTTTTTTTTTGGCGAGGGGGTCGGTCAGGGCCTGGGCACTGTCCCTAAGCTCTTTTTGCTCAAGGCTAGTGCTCTACCACATTAAGCCACAGCTCCACTTCTGGTTTTCTGGTGGTTACTTGGAGATGAGAGTCTCGTGGACGTTCCTGCCTGGGCGGGCTTTGAACTGTGATCCTTAGATCTCAGGCTCCTGAGTGGTTAGGATGACAGGCGTGAGCCATGGGTGCCTGGTTTCAGATGCATTTTTCCCCCTCTCTCTTCCTTACCAGGATTGAACCACAGCCTGACATGAAAGAACTTTGGGCCAAAAAACAGAGCAACAGACACAAAGTCCTGTGTTTTAGGAAAGGGGGGGGAGATATGCCTGCCTGCTCCAAGGACATTCAGGCACAATTTCAGACAATCCTGAGACTTCAGGTAGTGATTCCTAGGGTCCCCATCCGGGTCACTCTTCCTGTCTTCACAGCATCTTTGAAGCCCCAATGATAAGGTCATTCCATCCCATCATTCTTTCTTCCCACCTGTGGTTCAGGAAACTCAGCCCCAGACAAGACAAGCACCATACTTCTAACTCTGTTTCCCCCTTGGGTCCTGTGGTATCAACTCACAGAAGTCTGTGGGTCTGGTGTGGCCAATACATCCTTGAATCCATATTCCCTCATTTAGTTGTCAGATTTTAGGCATGTTGTGTGTCTGCATGAATCTCTGTCTCTACTTGTGCAATGGAAGAGACAACTGTCAACTCAGCGTCATTCACCCTCTCTCCCTCTTCCCCTCTACCCTGGCCCAGTTCTTATTCCTTCCTCCTGCATTTCTACTTCCTGAGAACACTCACATTCTTGTTGAATTCCAGTCTCTTAGCTCTTGATCCTATTTTGCTGTGCTATTTGTGTGTGTGTGTGTGTGTGTGTGAAGTGTGGAAGTGGTGTCTGTCACTACACGCCTATTCTTGTGTCCCCAAACTATAAGCCTCAAGGTGCTACATGGAGCATTGATCTTTTCCTGCCCTTCCCATCCTAGCATCCAATGCAATGCTGCGACTCTTCTCCAAAGCCAGCAAGCAGGTAGATACCATGCTCACATACACTATAGCTTTTCTTATCTACTTAACAGTAGATAAGGCTGAGTGTCAGATCAAGAAATGGTTTCAATAACCCACTGGACAGTTTCTACCCTCTTCGTGTCTCTGGAGAGGAAGCAGCTCAAGAAGGGAGCCCCAGCAGGTTCTGGCGTCCTTTTCATCTGATGGAGGTGGTGAACGGGAATGCAGTAGAATTCTGTGTCTGTGAGGACTTGACCTGGTCTGAATGGCCACCTCCCCTTAGGTGAGGCCTCTCAGTTGAGAAGACAATGGTACCCATGCCATACCCCTCCCCTCTTCCCCAGAGGCTGCCATCATCCTTTTCTGCTATTCATTTCTGAAAGGTGGAGGTTGGGAAAGGTGTTGAGAATGAGCCACGTACCTTTCAGGTAGCAGCAAAGTGTGTCCTGGTGATCTCCCTCTTCCCTCACAAAGGGGATGATGCTGGTGAAGTGTCTTAGTCCCCGATGCTAACACCCGTTAGAAATGGACCGTAGGCTCGGTCTGGAGTGGAAGGTGATGGGGAATAGCTCATTGATGGCAAAATTACTCATCCACTTTCCACCTTAGGACACATGCTGTTGGGTTGGCTCTGCCCTTTGTTATAAAAACCAAGATGGATAGAACAAAACGAGGAAGTCCCCGTCATATCCTATCTCTGGGAGGAAACCCACACAGTAAAATTCCCATGGAAAATGTCCCTCTAGGGTTTTAGAAGGAGGGCAAAGGTAGCTGAAAGTTTTGTAGAAGAGGCGACAAAGCTGCGGGGTTTCAGAGCAGGAAAGGACACTTACACTGGCTGGGCAGGATCTCTGTGTGGATGGAGCTGGGGCTGTAGGAAATCAGGATGGCTCTTATTGAGCTTCCCTCTCCTCACAGTTACAACAAAAGCAACAGAGACTAGACTGGACTGGACTGGATTGGACTAGACAACTACAGGTTGGGAACCCACCATAGATCTCTTTGCAGTGGGGAAATCAGAAAAGAAATGCCCTGGAACAACTCACAGTCACTATTCATATCCAGAGCTTGGAACTCGAGTGGGAGACTGTGTTAAGATGGCTCAATGAAGAAGAACGAAGCTCCACTTCACTCCATTTTTCCGTAGGCCACAGTGCAATTTCACTACTGGTGGGTGGGAAGGAAGTGCAAGCTCTAGCTGCCTGGTGGAACCACTTTACCGATGCTCTCCTGGGGAGAGGGGGGAAGGTCTAAATTGTGGCACAAAGGGGCAAAAGCACGTGCAGGACCTCCCCCAGGGACTCCCAGAAATCCATGATGTTTGAAGAGAGGCATGAAAAGGTACCAGGGGATGGGTAAGCTACGGGGTAGAGATCTGAAGGCCACTATATGCAGACAGGTTGGTGAGGGGGGAAATGTAGGCCAAGGTGTGCTTAAAGATACCCTTAGGTGGTTAAGAGGGAATGAATGAGGAGACAGAGGAACTCTCATATTAAGTTTAAACCAGCCATTGAGTAATGAACAGGTTCAGGGAAGAGGGTAGTGGCATCTTTATTAGTATGTGTGGGGAAAGGAAAAGACCAAGGGAGCAAGCTGGAAGAGCAAAGAAGAGGGTTCAGAGATAGGGATAGAGGCAGACAAGTAGCTGGATAGACTCTGAAGACAGAGAAAGGTTTTCCTTTATAATCTCAAGCCAGGCTGGGCTCTGGTGGTTCACACTTATTCTAGCTACTCAGAAGGTTGAGATCGGAGGGTCTCAGTTCAAAGCCAAGCCCAGGCAGGAAAGTCCATGGGACTCTTATCTCCAAGGAACTACCTGCGAAGTGGCTCAAAGTGATAACATCACTAGCCTTGCGCAGTAAAGCTCAGTGACAAACATTCAGGCCCTGAGTTCAAGACTCATGACTGGTGCACATGTGTGTGTGTGCGCGTATGTGTGCAAGCACACACACACACAGAGTCTCAAATACAGTGAACTCACATAATGAACTTGTGGACTTTTGTCCAGTGTAACTGCCAGTAATCTCTGTCTAGTAGAAAAAAATAGGTCCAATGGCTATGGTTTATGGCTGTGAGGATCGTTAACATATGTAGAGATAAATCAGCAGGGTTACAACAACGTTTCTGTATTCAGCTACTTCAAAACATCCATTTCCTCAAATGCTCTTGGAACCAATCACTAATCATATAATTGATTCCCTCAGAAATCAACAAGATGGCTGAATGTGGCTTAGTGGTAGAGTGCTTGCCTTGAGCAAAATAAAAAAAAAAGCTCAGGGACAGTGCCCAGGCCCTGAGATCAAGCCCCAGGACTGGCAAAAAAAAAAATCAATGGGCTGGTATTCTACCACTTGAGACATGTGTCCAACCTTGTTTATTGCTGGTTATTTTTTTTTTTTGCCAGTCCTGGGGCTTGAACTCTGGGCCTGGGCGCTGTCCCTCAGCTCTTCAGCTCAAGGCGAGCACTCTTCCACTTGAGCTACAGCGCCACTTCCGGTTTTCTTGTGGTTTATTGGAGATAGGAGTCTCAGGGTCTCTCCTGCCCGGGCTGGCTTTGAACCGCCATCCTCAGATCTCAGCCTCCTGAGTAGCTAGGATTACAGGTGTGAGCCACCAGTGCCCGGCTTGATTCTCTAGATTCTTTAGGCAACTTTATTGAGTGTGTGTGTGTGTGTGCTGGTCCTGGGGCTTGAACTCAGAGCCTGGGTACTTCCCAAAGCTTTTGTGTTCAAGGGTAGTGCTCTACCACTTGGGCCACAGCTCCACAGCTTCTGGCTTTTCCATGGTTAATTAGAGATAAAAGTTCTACAAACTTTTCTGCCCAGGCTGGCTTTGAACCATGGTCCTCAGATCTCAGTCTCCTAAGAGGCTTGGTTTACAGGTGTGAGACCACCAATTCCTAGCCTCCAAGAGGTATTCTAACACAATATGAATATATTCTTTTTGACTCAGTGTTTTTGTGGGAGTAGGAAATCCTTGTCTGCTATCATTCAGAAATCTCTCCTCGATTATTGCTGTATTCAAATTCAACCATAGTTAAATCTCTGGAATTCTGCTCAACAGTTTTTTTTTAAATCAATTATCATATATTGATATGAATCACCTTTTTTCCAATAATAACTTTATTTTCCAACAATTATAGGTGCCTACACTGATTTTTAAGAATTATTTTATTTGAAAATAATCTCACTGCGAGTAACAAATGTACCTTTTCCTCGTTAGTAATATCTTACATAATTATAGTACATTATCAAAGTCAGGAAATAAACACTGGCACAATCCTTAGCTAGATTATCAGCCTAAATCATATTTCACCAATATCTGTATCCAGGCCGTATATACACATATGTGTACCGTGCTTTGCCAATTTGTTATATGTATAGATACATATCATCACCATCTTCTTACTTCTTTTCTTCCTTTCTTCTTCCTTCCTTTCTTCTCTTTTTCTCTGTCTTGCTACGTAACCCAAGTGAACCTCAAATTCATTATCTTACATCAGCCTTCCAAATGCTGAAACTATAGTCATGTGCCACCATGCCTAGACATACATTACTAAATATGATTTCCTAACGTTTTATGTAGGAATTTTGCATCAACCATTCATCAGGAACATGCAACTGTGGTTCTGCTTTCTATTTGTATAATGTCTGACATTTTAGCATTGGTCCTGTGGGCCTTACAGACTGAGTTAGCAAGTGTCTGCCCTCTTCAATTCTTTGTCTAGGAACAGAATAGATACGAGAGTAACGTAGTCCAAGGGAAGCTTATTGGAATGATGGAAAATTGAGTGAATATAGAACAGATAGAGGTCATATTGGGGAAAAATGTAATTTAAGAATGCATCCTTAACAAGTACTGTGCCATTGGCAAAAAGGCAAACCTAACTCTGATCATCTCTATAAACTTCCCTGTGACTTTTCTTTTTGTTGGTTGTGGGGCTTGAACTCTGGGCCTGGGCACTTTCTCTGAGCTCTCCAGCTCAAAGCGAGCGCTTTACTGCTTGAGCCACAGCACCACTTCCAGTTTTCTAGTGGTTTACTGGAGATAAAGAGTCTCACAGAGTTTCCTGCCCTGGCTGGCTTTGAACCATGATCCTCAGATCTCAGCCTCCTGCATAGCTAGGATTACAGGCATGAGCCACTGGCATCCAGCTTCCCTGTGACTTTTGAGGTGGGAATTATTGTTTCAGATTAACAAATATTTTCTGGGAAGGTCTCTGGATCTGATAAAGAATCATTGGTGCTTAAAGAGGGTTTAAAGTGTGAGTCTGTCCGGGTAACATTCAAGGGATCAAGGGGTCAGACACTTGTGGACAAGCCTCAGTTTCTCTTGTGGGAGGGTTTGAAGACATTGTAAAAGGAGAGCTCACTTTGCGTGACAGGGGGCTATGACTATGGGAGATACCTTTTCCTCATCGTGCGGATTGAGCTGTATGTAGGGCCTCAATAACCCTTTAAAACGACATGTCAGGGTATAAATGAGAGACTCGTCATCTACATTAAAGAAGGAGAGGGTCCCACACTCATAGTCCAGGAATATACCCACTCGTGTAAGGTTGCTTCTTGGGTAGAGGCGAATTCTATTGGGATTGTTTACAAAATAAAAGTCTTCCTTTTCATGTTCAAGGACCCAGTATCCATTCATTGGACTCAAGGTCACGTGCAGCTTCTTCCTGTCCACACTATCCTGACACACTCCCAAGCTCCAGCAGTTATTGTGCCCCACTTCCACTTCCCAGTAATGTTTCCCTGATAGGAAACCCTGATGAGCCACCAAACACTTTCCTACAAATCTCGTGTCCAGTTCAGATACATCTTGAGGAATTGGTTTATAGGTTACTCTTTTCAGATTAGAAATGTAGAGCTGGGGGTGAGCCGTGTCTGGGTCCAGAGTCAACGCCTCTATTCACATTGGGGAAAGGAGAAAGATAATATGTTATTGTCAGGGAACCATGGCCAGAAGTCACCTCCTCTCACTTGTAGTGCTTGGATTCAGGTTGAGATTAGGCGAGGCATAGGGGGAGAGGCACCACTGGACATTGGCTTTTCAGACTTTCCCTTCCCTCATCTACAGCCAGAGAGCCTCTCTATCATTTGAGGTCACAAACACCTGCCTATCATAACGATCCCCCAAATGTCTGTCCCTCTGTGTAAGCCCATTAAGTGGGGGACCCACAAAAAACTGCACTATCCATTTTTCTTCCATCTATCATTTCCTGCTCAACTTCACTCACTTCTTAATCAGCTAGGTCTCCTGCATGATTTCAGCATCCTGGAGTTTTGTCTGTGAACCCTTCCCCTTGCCCCATGACTAACTCTCTTGTATCTTTTCTCTTTTTCATTTTCTTTTTCTGGTCAGGGATGAGGCTTGAACTCAGGGTCTGGGTGCTGACCCTGAGTTTTGTTGCTCAAGGCTAAAGCTCTAGCACTTTGAGCCACAGCTCCACTTCTGTTTTTTATGGTAGTTAATTGAAGATAAGAGTCTCACAGACCTTCTAGCTCCAAACCACAATCTTCAGATCTCAGCCTCCTGAGTAGCTAGGATTACAGGTATGAGCCACCAGTGCCCAGCTCTCTTGTGTCTTAATTGGGACTGAAAAATATACCATGGAGACAGGCACCCTAAGGTAGATCACAGATTCATCATGCACAGGATACACAGGTCTTCCGATCAGAGATCTGTCACTCACTCATCAGCTTCTCCTATGCCCACCCAAGACTCTGTTCTGCTCTCATGTCTTCAGCACGTTACCTGCAAATTTCCAGGTTTCCTTCAATTCTGAAAATAAACAGATTAGGCATGTCATTACCCATTTGAAGAACAGGAAGCAGGGAGAAGGCAGTAGACCAAAGATGGTTCCCTTCTGTGGGCCAAGGATCTATTTGATGAGGCCAAATAAGGCCTTTTTTCAGCCTGTATCTGCTGATAGTATCTGGGTCTCCATGACCTTGAAGGCCATCACACGTTTGCCTCTGCAGGGAACCATAAGCTTCAGGTTGTAGGAGTTTACAAACCCAGGGACAAGAGAAAAAGAGGGAGGAGGAAGAACAATTTCTCTTACCCTCACGTCTCTGTTTTTTTCGCCACTCTGAAACAAACAAAAACACAAAAGAGAATCAAATCACAGAACGGGACCAAGAGGAGAAATGGGAGGGAAGTTCTTCATGTGATACTTATCTTACCGAGTTTATCCTGGACCTCCTCTGAAACGGAAAGCAGATAGTCAGTGGTGACACAGTCTTGGAGAAAACTCAAATGATCACAGGGAGTTGAAGGAGGCACTCCGACCCCACCCCACAGGTTTCTTGGGCCCACACCCACTTCAGAAAGCTAATGAAATCTCAGGTTCCTATCTTGTATGAGATGTTCCAATAGGCAAAATTTGTAGATAATCTCAAAGTTTCTAGGCTTGATACCCATGCTAAAATGGCCAGTGTACTCTGGTTTCTCTTCAGATCATATAAATCTTTTTTACCTGTTTCTAAACTTCCCAGATCTGTAAGGATCAGTTCTAGTTAAAGAAATGGGGAGAGTAAAGAAGTTGCTTCCATAGACCAAACTTTCTGGCTAGTTGGGAAACACAATAGGAAACAAATGGCTCAACCCATCCATCTAGACCTCAGGAGAATGGTGTATGGAAGGGTCCAAACATAACAAGATACTTACTTAATTCTTTCAGAATTTGTTCTGAAACACACAAAAAAGTATTGAGTGGTTAATAGAATAGTATATAAGGTACAAATACAAACATGGCCCCTCACTCAGGGGGGGGGGCAGGCTGTGAATCTGGAGGGCTGGGTTTCTCCTAGAATTCCCCTTTAGTGTCAAACTCCTAGTCTTTATATTGAACTCTATCTAAACTCTAACAAAATATCAGGATCATTCAGACTGGAGAAGAGGATGGAACTCTAGGCTCCTGAGGAGGTAAGGATGGTGGTTATCAGGGAGTTGACAGCTGACTTGGGAAAGTGAGATTATGGCCCATATCCTCATGATGGAATATTACCTCCAAAGAGGAGAAAATTGGTTCTTGGTGATAAAAACAAAAACCCCACTAAACTTCTCATCCAGGCACTGATGGCTCACTTCTATAGTCTTAGTTATGCAGAAGGCTGAGATGTGAAGATCACCATTCAAAGCCAGCCCAGGCAGGAGAGTCCGTGAGACTCTGGTGGTTAATCTTCAATTAACCACCAGAAAGCCAGAAGTGAAGTGGTGATGTGGCTCAAAGTGATACAGTGCTAGTATTGAACAAAAGGGCTCAGGGACAGCACCTAGGCTCTGAGTTCAAGCCCTACAACAGACCAAAAAAAATCTTCTGCAGGCTGAATATTACTTTATATTATCTTACTTTTATTTCCTTAAATATAAATTTGTTTCAACTGGAATGAACTTTTTGTTGTTGTTGGTTGCAGGGCTTGAACTCAGGGCTGGCACTTTCCCTGAGCTTTTTGGTTCAAGGCGAGCACTCTATCACTTTGAACCACAATGCCATTTCTGGTTTTCTGGGATAAGAGTGTTAGACTTTCCTGGCTTTGAACTGTGATCTTCAGATCTCAGCCTCCTGCCTGTCTATAGTGAACTTTTTAAAAAAAATTATGAACTATTGGTTTATTTATTTATTTTTTCCAGGGCTGAGAACTGAACCCAGGGCCTTGCATGTGCCAGGCGGGCGCCCTTCAGCTGGGCTAAACCCCCAGCCCCTGGTTTATTTTTTTTTTCACTTGTGGAAAACACTGGTTTATTACATGTGAGTTCACAGAATGGATACTTGAGAATTTTAAAAATGAGTTAGGAATAACAACTGGATATAAAATCTCCAAATCCTAAAACCTGAAATAACCAATTCATAAGTTTTCTTAATTTTTTTCTCATGATTAGCATAGCTTGAAAACAGTGCTTGAACTATTGGTTTAATCCTTAAGAATTTGTATCAGCCCTATCATTTCTGAAAATTATTCTTAAAATGATTTTTTTTAATCTGGGGGTCTGGGAAGGTGGCTCAGTGGTAGAGTGCTTGCCTTGCATGCATGAGGCTCTGGGTTCAATTCCTCAGCACCACATAAGCAGGGGGGAAAAGCCAGAAGTGGTGCTATGGCTCAAGTGGTAGAGCACTAGCCTTGAGCTGGAGTTCAGGCCCCACGACCAACAAAAAAAATCTGGCTCCTTTACAGTGTACGAAAATCTTGGCCATGTTGGTCATTCCTTAGGATGTCATTTCAGATCAGTACAAAGGAGGGTGAAGATGGTGATTCCTGGAAACAAGAGGATGGGATTAAGAAGCCCTGGGCTGTCAGAAGAGATCTAAGAGGTCTGAGAATCCATGATCTAGACAACATTGGATCATGAATTAGCCACTAGCTCATCTCTTCTCTTCTCTCTCTTCTCTCTCTCTCTCTCTCTCTCTCCCACCCCTTCTTTCCCTGTCTGTTTTTCTTTTTTCCCCTTCCTCTCACTTACCCTTGGATTTGGAGAATGAAACGATCATCATAACAATCCAAATACACCCACCAATGCAGAGTAATATGAATACAATAGAAACTAGTAACCAGTGTGAGCTCTTGAAAAATGTATCTGAAAAACAGCCAAAGAAACTCCTTAATGCGTGTGTACCAGCAAAACCAGATGGTTGTCACTAATGGCCAATATCCTCTTTCATCCCAAGTATACTTTTCTATAATTTCTTCTATATGTTAAAAGTTTTCATTCTTGTCATGTTTGGTGGCACATCCCAGAATTCCAGCACTGAAAAGGCTAAAGTAGCAGGTTTGTGAGTTCAAAGCTAGCCTGGGCTACATCATTTGTTTGAAGGCCAACCGACACTACCAACTCTGTGTCAAGAAAGTGTAAGAAAAAAAAGTGTTTTATTGAGTGGAATCTTCTTCTTCTTCTTTTTTTTTTTTGGTCCAGTCATGGGGCTTGAACTCTGGGCCTGGGCACTGTCCCTCAGCTCTTCAGCTCAAGGCTAGCGCTCTACCACTTAAGCCACAGAGCCACTTCCGGCTTTTTTCTTTTTGCTTATGTGGTGCTGAGGAATTGAACCCAGGGCCTCAGGCATGCAAGGCAAGCGCTCTACCACTGAGCCACCTTCCCAGCCCCCATTGAGTGGAATCTTCTAATGATGATTTGTTTTGGTTTACTCCCTTGAGGTTCAATTTTTATATTTATATATATATATATATAATTTTATTTATTTATTATTTACCAGTCCTAGGGTTTGAACTCAGGGCCTGGGCACTGTCCCTGAGATTCTTTTTCTCAAGACTAGCACTCTATCACTAGAGCCACAGCACCACTTCCGGCTTTTTTTCTGTTTATGTGGTACTGAGGAATTGAACCCAGGGCTTCATGCATGCTAGGTGAGCACTCTCCCACTAAGCCAACTTCCCAGTCCTTTAGTTTATTCTTTTGAATAAGGTCTCTACTATTTTCCTGAGGCTAGCATGGACTGTGATCTTCCCACTCATTTCTCACCACAACCTGGGATTATACAGGCATGCACCACCAGGCCTAGTTTATTGGCTCAGATAAGGGGTCTCATCAAGTTCTTAATTATATTTGTAATTTTCTTTCATCGACTAATAACTTTAGTATAACAACAAGTAACCTTTTTATGATCATAGCTTTAGTTTTCTTAAGTTTTGCTTCAATTGAGTTTGAAGGGAGTCAGGTGCTGGTAGCTCAAGCCTGTAATCTTAGCTACTCAGAAGGCTGAGATCTGAGGATCATGGGCAGTCAGTCTAGGCAGGAAACTACAGAAGACTTATTTCCAATTAATCACCAGAAAAACAGTTGTGGCACTGTAACTCAAAGCGGTAGTGTGCTAGTCTGGAATGAAAAAAGCTTAGGGACAGCACCCAGATCTTGAGTTCAGGCCCCATGACTGACAATAATAAAAAAAGTTTTAAGGGGAAAACCATGGATCATTTTTGGGGGGAGGGGTCAAAGCTAACCCTCTACCACTTGAGCCACAGCACCACTTCTGGTTTTCTGGTGGTTAACTGGAGATAAGAGTCTCACAGACTTTCCTACCAGGGCCTGCTTTGAACTGCAATCCTCAGATCTCAGCCTCCTGAGAAGCTAGGATTACAGATGTGAGCAACCGGGGTCCAGCCATGAATGATTTTTTAAAATGTGTATCATCAGTACAAAAGAGTTTCATTGTGATATTCATATGTGCATTCAATGCAATTTGATCCTAGCAACCCTATTATTACTTTCTTATCTCCCTCTCAATTTTTGAAAACAATTTAATTTTCTATTCTATTTATGTAAGGCATTCAATATTTTTTCTTTTTCTTTTCTTAGTCCAAGATTGGGAGTTGAACTTGGTACCTGATGCTTTTGTTCATTGGCTAGTACTTTCCCAACTGACCCACGCCTCTGGCCCCACAATATACTTTAACTATATCCACTTCCCCTTATTTCTCTCCTTCTTTCCCTCTCTCTAGTTCTTCTTTTAACAATCTCCAGGGGAGAGATCTGTGGGGAGGAAAGTTAATCTACTCCCAAGAATTCTAAGCAACTCTATTGGTGATTTTCATTTTCATATCTTGTTTACTTGTCTTTCAGAACAAACCTTACAAATAAGACAATACTAAACAATCCCCAGATAGAACCTCTTTACTTTCTAAGTGCTGCACGTACCTACTCATGTCTACTTACTTCTAATCCATATTCTGGATTTCACTACTCGGCTGTGGTCAGTGTGTTGGATGGAACAGGCTACGCTCCCAGAATCCTCTTGGACAGTAAGGGAGGTCTCCACATCAAAAAGGCCTTGAGTATCTTCATTTACTTTGGAGTCTGAGGGTAACTCAAGTTCGTCTGGACCTATCCACTTCATTATGGGTTGGGAAACCCAACCAGAGGACTGACAGAGTAGCTGAATGCCTCCATCAACATATCCCATGACTGAAATGAGAGGAGGTGAACCCAAAACTGCGGAGGAAACAGAGAAAGATGAACATAAAGATCATATCCTAAGCCCACAGTTGTCCTAAGCAAGGTTGATCAAGCTCATCCATAAAACAGCCCTCCCTTCTTTCATATTATCCCTTATACTTTTACACAAATAGTTCTCTGTGGCGTGTGTGTGTCTGTGTGTATGTGTGTGTGTGTGTTACACATGCCAGTACTAGACTTGAACTCAGGACCTGGGTGCTATCTCTTAGCATTTTTTGTTCAAGGCTGACTACTACCACTAAGCCACACTTCCAGGTTTTTGCTGGTTAATTGGAGATAAAAGTATAGAGCATTTGACTGCACAGGCTGACTTGAATGGTCAATTTTCAGATCCAGTTCCAAAGCAGCTAGGATTACAGGTGTGAGTCATGAACACTTGGCTCTCTAAGCTTTTCCACAGCTTGTTCATTTGATAAGCATTTAGCTAGTACTAGATGCATAGCTAACTAAATACCTGAATTTGATGAGGTAACTAAATCAGAATCCACTTTCAATGAGGTATTTCCTGAGTAAGCAGAGAGATAAGATCAAAGAAGTGAAACTTGACAAGTATAGCCAAGGAGAAAATGAATGACTAGGGGAAGTCCTAGCTTCCAGGAGGTGGCATTTGTACCCTGCTAGGTCAGATAAATGTGGTTTGGTAACTGGACAAGTAGAGATGGATAGAGAGGTCCGGGCAAGCAGCTAGGATTACAAGTGTGAGCCGCTGGTGCCTGGCTTCATATAACACTTCTGTTAGGTGTAGTTCACCACTCCAATCATGTGGTTTTGGCCTCTGTAAGCTTTGTGGTAGCTACGCTCAGGGCTGCAAGCCTTTGGGACAGGAGTGTACTTGCAGTGGCTTCTCTGTATCTCCCAAATAAATTACCATATAACAAGGTGACAGTTCAACGTGTGGGTGTCATCATGACAAGAACCCGTATGTAGGCAGGCACTGGTAGCTCACACGTGCAGTTCTTGCTACTCAGGAAGCTGAGCTCTGATGATCTCAGTTCCAAGCCAGCCCAAGCAGGAAAGTCCATAAGACTCCTATCTCCAATAAACTACTCAGAAATAAAGCTGGAAGTGGCCTTGAGTAAAAGAAGCTTAAGGACAACACTCAGGACTGATATCAAATCCTAAGACTGAAACAAAAAGAAGAAAAGAAAAGAGAGAAAAGAATAAAGAACCCATGTGTGTGACACGGAAATAAGAATACTGTGTCTAAGTAACATCTCTGTCCTCACCACTGCGAGGATGCCTTGCTGGGTGGGTGGGGGCTTTTCACCCAGCTCTGAAAGGCCTGGAGGTGAGACAGGCCATTCTTTATATTGCAGATGTATCATGCGGTGGAGCCCCAGGAAAGCTCTGCTTCAGAGACTGCTCCTCCTTGAGTATTCCCCTAGATGTTGTCTGCTGTTGTTGAGCTTGGATCCCGACCCCAAAACACGTGGTTTTTGTGTGTATAAGCTTTGTGCAAGCTCTGTTCTGGGCTGCAGGTCTTTGGAACTAGAGACCACGTGCAGTTGCTGGCTTTCTAAGAAAGACTCCCAATTCCACCTCTCAAAATGTGGCTTCTGTGTTTCTCGCAAATTCCCACATATCAATACAATGATAGAAATGTGCACACAATTCACAGCCACGTGGAAATGGAGGCTATTGTCTGCTAAGTAAATGATAGGGGGAACCCTTTAAGCGCACAAAATTTTATAAGATCTAGAATCTCTCTGCAAGACAACTTGGTTATGAGTTCTCTGAAATTAGCTGACCTGTGACCTCCAGATCCCAGATGGCCTCATGTTGATGAGTTTTGGAGCTGAACCAGCACCCGTATATACCAGTGTCTGAGGGGACCACTTTCTGCAGCTTTAGCAACACACGCCCATTTGTAATGAAGTCCTTCACCAGTTCTGTTCTTCCTTTGTACTGCGTCATCTGCATGTATCTCTTGTCTTTCCCATCCTGGTAGAGGAAGACTATGGCATTGAAGTAATCCTTGAAGAACCTCACTTCCATAGCCTCTGCGTTTGTCTCAGGAGAGAGCGAGCAGGGGAATGTGACATCTTCCCCCTCCCAGACCTGGATGGTTTGTTTTGGTCCAAGTACTTTCCACTGGCCTGCAGGAAGAGACATAGAAGGTAGCCGAACAAAACACACGTCAGTGCTTGCCACTCAGGGTGGCTTTGGGAGATGATGTGCAAGGGGGAGGACCTTCACCCTGATCTCCTTCCTAAAGCAAATGACTTCAATCTGCACATCTCTATTTTTACATTGATAAAATCCTTCTTCTTCTTATTTTTTTCCAAATTTTTATTGTGATTAAGTGGTTACAGAATTTCCAAAATGTCACAGTATGGTGGGATAGTCATGCGTAAAGTCACAAACACATTCCAACTTTCATGGGGCAAATTGTCTCTCATGGTCTGTAACATTTATGAGTTCTATGAGCTTTGCAATAGTGATTTCTTCCACCTTGGGTGATGTGTACATTTCTTTTGTTCTGCATAGCGTCAGCGGTTCCCTCTTTCCCACTTGTTCCCTCCTTCCCATCACTGCCATTGAGTTGCTGAGTTCATTTTGACCAATGTCCAGTGCAGCTGATGGGTCCCACTGTTGTATGTTTTTCCCTGATTCCCTCTAGTTCTGTGTCCTCCTCCAGGTTTCCCTCAGGTGTGCACATATATTTATATATGTGATCAGCAGCATGGAGTTATTTAGTAGTGATTTGACCAGATGAGTGGAAGTTCTTTGTTTCTTGTCTAATTTTTTCATATCACCTTACATTTTGGATTCAAATCTGCTTATCAGGGAGACCATTGCATCTTCTTATACTTGATAGATAACACATGCACACCAGTCACTTTGGTCCTCATGCCCATCCCTACAGCTGTGTCTTAATAATATTTCAACTTTCAAGATGACAAAGCATGTTTCAGAAATAAATTTCGCTGGGGCTAGGAAGGTGGCTCAGTGGTAGAGCGCTTGCCTTGCATGCATGAGGCCCTGGGTTCGATTCCCCAGCACCACATAAGCAGAAAACAAAAAGCCTGAAATGGCGCTGTGGCTCAAGTGGTAGAGTGCTAGCCTTGAGCTGAAGAGCTGAGGGACAGCGCCCAGGCCCAGAGTTCAGGTCCACGACCGGACTCCCCCCCCCCAAAAAAAATAAAAAGAAATGAATTACACTATCCAGATGAATGAGAGGCACATTGTAATTTCAGACCCTCTGACAAGAGAAGATGCTCTACCCACATTTTCTCTCATTCATCTACCTGCCCCACTAGCATTCACAGCAGCAACTTTTCCATCTCGTTTGCTAAAAAACAAAGACCCCCTCTGTATCTCTCTGTCTCTCTCTTTCTATGTCTCTCTCTGTCTCTCTGTTTCTCTGTCTCCCTGTCTCTTTCTCTCTGAACATAGCTCTCCAGTTCAGGGAAATTTGTTTGCTTGAAATACAGGAGTATATTTTGTAAATATTGCATGGATACAATAAAAGATGTATACAAAACACTCTTTGACTGTAGTAACTATTTATTTGTGCTTCCTTGCTTAATTAAAAAAATTTGCAGAGTATTTTAGTTGGCTACAATCTGAAAGATGCCATTATGACCCTAACAAAGAGATTTCCCACTTTTTATTTCAGAGATTTCTTCTTCAGTGTGTTCCTAGGGTGGTATATTGTCTCTATAACCCGCACTTTTACACTTGTGGGATAGTGGTTTCTACATCATGATTCTGACCTTATTCTTGCATGATTCAATTCTATATTGACACACCTTTCCTTTAGTTTGTTTGTTTTCTTGCTACATTTTGCCCCTTTTCTACAACTCGACAGTTGAATCACCTGGAATCAATTGTGTTCATTTGTGTGTGTGTGTGTGTGTGTGTGTTGTGTCTGCTGATACTGGGCTTGAACTCAAGGCCTAAGTGCTATGCCTTAGCTCTTTCACTCAAGGCTGGCACTCTAACACTTGAGCCACACCTCCACTTAGGCTTTTGGATTGGCTAATTGGACATAAGAGTCCCATAGGCGTTCTTGCCAGGGGCAGCTTCAAATAGTGATCCTCAGATCTCAGCCTCCCGAGTAGCTAAGATTATGGGCAACATCCTGCATACCAACTATTTCTTGATATATTGTATTATAAAACATGTTTATAATAATATATATTACATATTTTATAGAATTTATATATTTTTATAATATATAAAATATTTATTATAAGTATTTTATGAAAAGATATATATAGTATATATAAAAGTAAATATGAAAATATAAATGTCTATATAAAATATACTTACATAAAATATAAGTATAGTTTACAAATTTTTCTGAAATGAACTTCTCACAATCTTGACAGAGGCCATTATTAGATGAACCTTAACTTTAAACGTGTCCTTCGCCTCTCTGCTAGCCTGGACAAGCAGCTGAGTCCCTAGCACCGCCCCCACCCCAGAGGCCTCCACAGCACAAGGGACACACCCACGCCAGCCCCTCACAGCTAACCTGTCCTCTGCCCCAGCTTGCTCCTGCATTTGGCACTTGCTCATGTCTGGGGTAGAACGGCTCAGGGGTCCTGAGATTTAACAACCTCGACTGCAGATCCTGAATAGATGGGACACAAAGCAGAGGAATTCCCAACCTTTCCTTGCTCTCTTTGAACACATCTGCACCTTGGTATGCATGGTTCTTCTAAAGTTCCTCCTCACCTCAGGCTCCCAGTGAGCCTGCACCCCAATTGTTCTCAGTAAGGAGCTGCTTGGAGCACTCTCTGGGGCTTTCCTACCTTAAGGCGGCCCTCTTCCCCTCCCTTTGTTCCCCAGACTCCCCTCCTAAACAAAGCAGCTGCAGACCACTGCTTGTCACTAGATTTGCTTTAGAGAACCCAGCATAAGTCAGTGCAGTGACTGTGAGGGGCTGCTGAGTGAAGGGACCACGTTTGTGAGTTTCTCTAGTTCTCTAGTTCTCTGATCAGCCCTTGCTGCATTCACTCTTCTTGCCTACAGCAGCTGCTTCCATTCTTAGCTTTCCCACACAGGACGCAGGGAGAAAGCCGTGGTGCTGAACACACAAGGAACCAATGTGTGATCCACACATTGTGTGTGCCACACCCCACTGTCCTCCCTACAGCCATCAGCAAGGAGGTACAGCCGCCATGTCCGAACAAGTGAGCAGACACTTTGAACCATGCTGAGCCACAAAGCCCAGACGCAGGGGAAATGGGAATGTGAGAAATCAAGTCTTTCTGCCTCTGCCCCCATGTCCAAGATCTTTTGTGCTGCCTCTCCTAGAAATGGAAAGGAGGCAAAAAAAAAAAAAAATTCTCATCAGGAAGTGAGTGAGAATGCGATGAGAGGCACTCTTGCAATTCTTCTTCAACACACCACACAGAGCGTTTCTGGGCTACTTTTCTGGTGCCTCTCTACAGAAATGCTCACATCCTTCCCACTGCCCCATTCCCATTCCTTCCCACAACCACCTGCTATGGGCAGAGTCCAGCGGAGGATGAAGAGAACCCAGGAAAACAATCCACAAAGAGGCATCTATCCCTCTTCTTCTGCAATTATAAGGAGAGAACTCGACCTGTTAATGAACAAGAAGGAGAGAGACAGAGACAGAGAGAGACAGAGAGAGAGACAGAGAGAGAGACAGAGAGAGAGAGACAGACAGAGAGACTCTGTCTTTGTCCTGGATAACTTACCTGCCCCCAGCTGGAGGAGACTGAACAGCGGTATGAGCACAAGGACCATGGCTGTGCTTCATGGAGATTTCCTGTCAGCTCTCCCAGGTCTGGGAGCTGAGCACTGGATCGGCTCACCAGGCACTGAGAGTGAAACTATGTCATTCCTCTGATATTCTCCCTCACGCGGATGGAGCTCTGTGCCAGAAGCATGGGGACTCTGGACCTTGAACTACCTCTGTATGGCACCATAAATTTCAGGGGGAAAAGGGAATAGGAAAAGAGTGAGTCAGTGAAAATATGGCCTTGTCCTAGGGCAAGCCTGTACCCTGGGCGATAGCAGGAAGGCCACAGACACTGGGGCATTTTTGAGATCCAGGCTGGGAAGGTAAAGTTTGGGGCTTGCGTAGAGACTCAGTTGGTGTTGCAGGAGAGATCACCCTGGCAGAAGATGGTGGGGTCTTAGATTAGAAGTAAAAGTGGTGCTCATAGAGGCTCCTGAGGTAGTTCTACCACTGCTTTCTCGTCTTGAATTCAGTGCCAGGACTCTGGTTATGTGAAGAGATCCACTGGGTTGGGAAAGATTGCAAGGTTGGTGCGGGAAGGTAAAGACACAGTCCCCAGTCATACCTTCCATTCAGTCATCACAGACAGACAAATGGGAATTGAGGCAGTCATTTCCATCAGTCAGCTCTTCTCTCCCTCTCCCTTATTTCCCTTTCCACATCTTAAAATATTTTCAATAGTTCTATGGTTCAGTTTTTCACACATATGCATGCTTCTTTTTTTTACCAGTCCTGGGCTTGAATTGAAGATTTGGGTGCTGTCTCCAAGCTCCTTTTGCTCAAGGAGAGTGCTCTACCACTTGAGCCACAGCCCTACTTGTGGCTTTCTGGTAATATATTAGCAGTAAAAGTCTCACTGACTTTCCTGCCCAGGCTGGCTTTGAACCATGATTTTCAGCTCTCAGACTCCTGTGTAGCTAGGATTACAGGCGTGAGCCACCATCAGATGAAATACGATATGCTTCTTAAACATTACCATTAAGTAGCTGGACAAAGAGGTTACAGTTCCATGTGAGGTTCTGAGTACAATGGTGTACAGTATATTTTCACTCTTTTCATCTCACATGTCACTTCTACTCTCCTGCTGTTTTCAAACCTGTTTTACATCACCGAATTTCATTTTTAAGGGCAAGATTCTACACACGAGAGAGAAATTTCAGCTTGGATTATTTTTCTCCACATGATGCTCTCCAGTTCCATCAAGGGACATAATTTCATCCTTCGTGATACCTGATTCACACTCCATGGTGTATTTATTACATTTTCTTTATCCCTTGACCAGTTGTTGGCACCTAGGCGGATTCCGCAGCTGGGTTATTGGGGACAGCGCTGTGATAGGCGGGGTTGTGCAGCCATCTGTCTTCTAGGGTGATTCGGACACTCTTCAGATAACTCAAGAACTATTCCACAGGTGATTTGGAATTGGGGAAATTAGTTGATGTGAAATAGACAAACAAGGGGGCTGTGAAGGTGGCTCAGTGGTAGAGCACTTGCCTTGCATGCATGAGGCCCTGGGTTTGATTCCTCAGCACCACATAAGCAAAAAGAAAAAAGCCGGAAGTGGTGCTGTGGCTCAAGTGGTAGAGCGCTAGCCTTGACCTGAAGAGCTGAGGGACAGCGCCCAGGCCCAAAGTTCAGGCCCCACGACCGACAAAAAAAAAAAAAGAAATAGACAAACAAGGATCATGTTGGCCATTCATTTCCTTTTTATTATCTCTCAGTAGCTGTACAAAGGAGATGCAATTCAACCAAGCAGTTTATGAATCCAATGTCGTCCCTTTCATCTATCTCCTCCCCTCTCCCATCCCTCCCAAGCCAACCTTTCCCTCCACATTCATTTTTTTTAAATTTTTTATTGTAAAGATACTATACAGAGGGTTACAGTTACATGAGTGAGGTAATGAGTACACTTCCTCTTGAACATTGTTAGCCCCTCCATTGTTTTCCCCCTACCATCCCCTCCCTCCCTCCCTTCCCCGAAGTTCTTTTTTTTTTTTTGATTGTGATTAAGTGATTACATAATTTCTAAGTCACAAGTTCATTCTAACTTTCCTGGAGCAAATTGTCTATCACAGTCTGTAATATATAACAGTGTTCACATGTTATACACCATACATGTGATCAGCAGCACCTCCACATTCATTTTCAGTGGTAGAGCGCTTGCCTCGCATGCATGAGGTCCTGGGTTCCATTCCTCAGCACCACATCAGCAGAAAAAGCCGGAAGTGGCACTGTTGCTCAAGTGGTAGAACGCTCACCTTGAGCTGAAGGGCTGAGGGACAGCGCCCAGGACCAGTGTTCAGGTTCCACAATCAACAACATTAAAATTTGGGGGCTGGGAAGGTGGCTCAGTGGTAGAGCGCTTGCCTTGCATGCATGAGGCCCTGGGTTCGATTCCCCAGCACCACAAAAGCAAAAACAAAAAACATCATTAAAATTTTTTCTGTGTCTCCTGACATAGGAATCATCATCCTTCAACTGACAGATGAGGATCTGAAAACTGTGACTGGCTGAAAGTCTCTTAACTGGATAAACTTTCCACAAACGAAATACATAGCCATCTTCTTCCTTCTTCGCCTCAGAGCAGCTGTGAACCCCAACTCCATGTGGCGGAGATGCTGTCTCCTCATCTAGAAGCAATTACTATTAGCTTCTGTAGGGTTCTCAGGCCAGTAGAAAACAAGAAAGGCAATAGCTTCAGTGAGTGAGTGATGGGATTACCAATAATGATCACCCCAGGAGAAGAAGAATGAGCAAACTTTGGGAAGAAGCCCTGCTTCTCTTAGGACACTGGGCAGATGAAGATGGGATGTTGCCATTCCTTCCCGAACATCTGAAGCTGGATGTAGGGCCTCAGTAAGCCTTGGGACTTAATGTCCAAAGTAAGAATCCGAGACCCATCATTTATATTGAAGAAGGAGATGGCCCCATCCTCCAGATCCAGAAAGATCCCCACTCTCCGAGGGGGGGTTTGGGGGAAGAGATTCACTGTCTGGGGGTTGATTGTGAAATATTGCTTGTTTCCCCATAGGCCAAGGAGCCAGTACCCATTGTCAGGAGACAAGGTCACATGTTTCTCTTTCCTGTCCACATCGTCCCGGCAGACCCCCAGATACCAGCGCTTGTTGTAGCCCACGTCTACCTCCCAGTAATGCTTCCCTTCCGAGAAACCCTGAGAAGTGACCACGCACTTCCTCGTGAATCTCTTCTCTGAGAACTCCACTGCCTGGGCAACATCCTTGCAGTATACAGATCTTAGATCTTGAATGTAGAGCTCAGGGTGAGCTGATTCCGGGTCCAGGGTCACCTCCACTGCAGCCAGAGTAGAAAGAGAAGGAGCATGCGTCATTGATGTGGCCTGTGACAGTATATTAACTCTTTGCAATACTCTTTGGAATCCGGTGAGTCCCAAAGCCAGAGTCTCCAATGGGCCCTACCCTTCAGATGCTTTTCTATCTTTTGTTTGTTTGTTGGTCAGGAGTCTTGAACTCTGGGCCTGGGTGCTGTCCCTGAGCTCTTCAGCTCAAGGCGAGCACTCTACCACTTGAGCCACAGTGCCCCTTCTGGTTTTCTGGTGGTTCATTGGAGATAAGAGTCTCATGGACTTTCCTGCCTAGACTGGCTCTGAATCACCATCCTCAGATCTCAGCCTCCTGAGTACCGGCACCTGGCTGCTTTTCTATCTTTAGTGAGTCCCACAGCTTCATTGATGCCTGGAGTGCCCAGCTGTGACTTCAACCCAAACTTACGTTTGTCTCTTCATTTAATTTCCTATTTGATTTATGAGGAGAAAGTTCTCCCCTGTCCATCAGCCTCTCGTCTGCCAGTTCCTGTGGAATAGACTTCCTTCACCCTTGTCCCTGGCCAGTCAGTACTTCTGTCTATCACCTGGAGTTTTGCCTGTGACCTGCACCCTGGCTGATTCAGGCCCTGCTCTGACCCTTTCTAGACCTTAGTTGAAAGTGTGTCCTGGAGAAGATGAAGACCCCTGGATCCTCTTCAGGTTAGATGGGTTCCATAGCTCCCTCTTTGAAACCCACAGGAAGCTGTCTGCCCTGTGGCCCCCTCAGACATCTGGTATACCTGCATGTTTCCGGGCTGTTCTCCATTCTGAAAACAAGCAGAGAGAGTAGATGGTTCAGCATCTGCCTGGTGACCGGAGGCTGGGTGAGGGGACTAGACCCAGGGTGTTTGCACATTTGGAGGTGTCGTGGACCCACTAGTGAAGGCCATGGGGCATCTCTACAAAATGCAACTTATCCTCATGTGCAGACAGTGAAGGATTGCCATCATACGTGCTTGTGTCTGCAGGCTCCCACAGGACTCAGGCCAGAAGAGTCCATTAGTCATGGACTTGGAAGAGGACTGGGGAAGAACATATCTTCTCACCTGCGTGTCCGACTTTCTCTTCCTTGTCTGCAATCAAAACATAGAAAAGGTTGCAACTTCAGAATTGAGGACTAGGGGAACACACACGTGTGTGTGTGTGTGTGTGTGTGTGTGTGTGTGTGTGTGTGTAGAAGGTTCAATATATACTCTTACCTAAGATTTCCTTAAGCTTTGCTGAAACAACAATAAAAACAGAATATTCAGTAGTCATACAGATTTGGATAACTGTTCAAACATCAGGCTGGGGGTGAGAGGGAAATGGAGGGAAACATCTTGCAGTGATTTCATCATTGTGAATCCTCATATCCCCCAAAGATCTCATGAATCAACAACTCTCTCCCTCTACCTTTCCACCCCCCCCCCCCCCCCCCCCCCCCGCCCTGCCACAAAGATAGGTCAACAGGCAAAATTTACAGAGAATTTTAGCACCTCCTCCACACATGGGAGGCTGGATTCTTTCATCAATGAGTGGGGAAGGGAGTTGCTTTTTTATTTGCCTTGGCTGCCCAAGCTTCCTGTCCAGCTTGGTGCCACAGTAGCCTGCAGATGGCCCAGACAGTGGAACAGGGGAGATCTATGAGTGGAGTGAAAGTTATCAGAATTTGATGAAGCACTCACCCAATTCTGCCTGCTCCTTCCCTGAAAAGAAAACAGTACTGAGTGGTCCACCAGGGGGTGAAGGATGGAACCAGACCTGATGCCTGCCTCAGGTGGGAAGACTGTGGCTAGACGGGGCTTCTTCGCACTCTACTTTTGTGCTCTGCACCCACTCCCAAACTAGTAGCAGTGTCTCTACCTGGGGTAAGACAAGAAATAAGGACCATTCACTCTAAAGAGAGGAACTTATCTATTATCTATTATCCCAGGGTCTTGGGAATGATGGTTAGGGAGGGAGAAGGTGGCTGGGTATTGGAGGTGGGATGATGGCATTCATTCTCAAAGGAACTGGGTTATCCTCAAGAGGAGAAAATTGCTTCCTGGGTGTAAAATCTTACTGGAGCAGAACTGACTTTTTGTTTGCTTGTTTTTGTTTTGAGACAGGATCACTTCATATAAGTCAGGCATTCCTAGAACTCTTTTATTTATTTATTTATTTTAAATTGTGAATATACCATACAGAGGAGTCCCGATTACATGGGCAAGGTAACAAGTACATTTCTTATCAAGCATTGTTGCCTCCTACAGTCCTAGAACTCTTATTCTTCATACTTCATTCTCTCGAGTGCTGGGATTAGAGGCAGGTGCGGCTGAGGCAGGATACATTGAGGATACATTCCTTCCTGAGAGATGCATTTCTCATCCCAAGAATTAACATTTGTTTGGGAGGATGTGTCCCTTCCTGAGAGAAAAATGCTCCTCGCCACCCCTCCCCTCCCAGACAAACAACCAAAATGTTACACAAGAGCTAGAAACTTAGAAAGTGTTAATAACACAAGGGTGACTAGAGAGCAAAATGAACTCCTAGGCTTAAGTCAGACCCCCTTGGTTTACCCTATAAATACCTGTAACAGTCACTCCTCTAAGGCACCCACACTGTTGGAGTGTGTGTCTGCTCTTCTGCTTTTGTCTGCCTGTTGTCTGCTTGCCTGCTTGCGTGCTTACTCAATAAAGCTTTGCCAAGTTTTCTAACCACTGTGGCGTGTCCAGAAATTCTTATTCAGCGATTGAGTCGAAGACCCTCAGTGAAGTGGCCATACTTTTTTTTTTTTTTTAATTTTTTTGGTCGGTCGTGGGGCCTGAACTCTGGGCCTGGGCACTGTCCCTCAGCTCTTCAGCTCAAGGCTAGTGCTCTACCACTGGAGCCACAGCACCACTTCTGGCTTTTTCTGCTTATGTGGTTTTGAGGAATCGAACCCAGGGCCTCAGGCATGCAAGGCAAGCACTTTACCACTGAGCCACCTTCCCAGCCCAAGGCCCTACTTTTAAAGGGAAATTTCACCAACCTTCATCTGCCTCTGGGTGACACCTCCACACCTGGGACTTATTATTATTTAATCCCCACCCCCGACTTATTTCTTCTACAAAGTTTTCAACTACAACATAACATTTTGCTAGAATCTTGGTGCTGCTCTTAGACTTTTCTATCAGTTCAACAGTACACATGAAGTACTTCTCTCCCTGATTCTGTCACTGGATGCAGGTGAAGTTTCCTGAGCAAAAGAGAGTCAGAGACAGAGCCCAAGTCCTGAGTTCAGGACTGGCAAAAAAAAAAAAAAAAGCAGGAATTCTTCACTTAAGATTCTTTTTTTTTTTTTTTTTGCCAGTCGTGGGGCCCGAACTCTGGGCCTGGGCACTGTCCCTCAGCTCTTCAGCTCAAGGCTAGTGCTCTACCACTTGAGCCACAGCGCCACTTCCAG